ACAATAACTATTCCACAAAAATGAATTGTAACTTGTTTCCATATAAAATAAGACCAGAGAGTAACCTGGCATTTTTCCAGACAATCCAAGCGAGCGACACAGATCAGCTGTTTGACGACGTCGGGAGACCATTGGTATCAGCCTGGATAGTTCTTCCTCATTGAAATCAGAAGCAATTGCAAAAGTGACTAGAAGTTGAAGAAATGCATGAGCTGCCAAGGAGTTCCCATTACTACAGTCCATATCAAGAGCATCCAACTTTGGTTTCCATTCTTCAGCGATTACCTTTGCTTGCTCTTTAATATCCTCAGAGATAACAGCAGAAACAGAGACAACATCCAGATCACTTAGTAAAAAGCTAAGACACTCCATCAACATGATACAAGTCCTGCGGAGACCAAGTAGGTTTGCATCTTTCTTCCCATCTGCAATTGGTAGTTCAGTGTGATAAAAACCTTTCAAAGAATCCAAGACCAAATGGGCCGGGCTTGCTGCAACTTTTAATGCACAAGGAATTTCGTCCTTCAAGGCAGCAAGGTTCTTACGATTATCGGATATGAATTTGTGCAGCCCTTCTGAGTCCATCGCTTCACATAGTTTGACCAACTCAGGATAAGTTACCTCCAAATTTCCGCTCTCAACAGTGTTCTTCATGTCCTCCAACTTGCTCTGAGAAGCCACAAAATAAGGTTGTTTTTCTTCAGTTTCTGGCGTCTCATTTTCCCAGTTGCTCTGAACAACAACGGGCTCCTCAGTAGATAATTTCCTGTGCTTCTCCAGAGCATTAGTAATAGCAAAAACAGCAGCATCTCTCTTCTCCTGCAACCTCTTCAGCAAAGCTTGTTCTTTGGCTATAACTGCTGCTTCCCGCTTCTCCAGCAATTCTTGAGCTTTCCTGGTTTTGGTCTCAAAATCCTTTTCTTGATCTTCTAACTCATGAAACCGTCTTTTCAAGGATTTTTCAAGTCCATGAAAATGCTCCTCCATCTCTTTCCATCTCAAGTTAAGTGTTATAGCATGGTAACTTTCAAGTTCAGTGAACGCTTTCTGAAGCTGCTGTATCTTACAGGTAGTTGACTCCATAAGCATGGTAACTGATTGTGTGTCTTCCATAGAAGAAAAACTAAGACGCATGAAGAAAACATTGATAAGAAGGAAAAAGGATGGGAAATGTTAACGACTCTAAAAAAAATTTTAAAAAAAATAAATACCACTTTAAAACAAAAATAAGTGAACTTGAATAGACTAACAAGAAGAAACAATACTTTTTATATTACAGGAAGAACCAAAACAACCTACAAATACATGAATGGAAAATGAAACATTAAGGAAGTCAAAATTCAGAAAAAAAAAAAAAAAAACTAGATTCTTCCAGAAAAACGATTCTTACCATGATAGCCAAAAAAAAAAGAAAATTACTATGTAGTACAAAGTGACAGCAGTAACCAAATGTGGTAATATTTCCAGCCACTAAATATGGCAGGTTAACTAAAACAATAAAGTTTGAGAACCAATCTTCATGTCTCTATGAGTAAGACACTGAAGAAAAATAGTACTTACAGAAATCCCCTACTCCTAAACATCAATTTGTTGAGTGCGAAAACTTTACTCTAAATTTGCATTACAGAACTCAGACTTGCTTCTAGTTAGACCAACAATGAAATGAAGTCTAATCAAGATTAACATGGTTGGTTAAACAAAGCTTCATCTAAATAGGAAAATATATGTGTGTGTATTATTGTTATTATTATTATTATTATTATTATTATTATTATGAGTAGGGAACCACTTACACACAAATCTTACACATCACACTTACACAAAATCTTGACCATTCATCTCTCCACTTTCAATGGTTGAGATTTATTCACGTTTATTAAAGATAATTATCTTTCTAAAAGTAATGATAAATATCAACCATTGAAAGTGGAGAAATTAATAATCAAGATTTTGTGTAAGTGTAATTTGTAAAACTTGTATATAAGTAAATCCTCTTCTATTATTATTTTATGAGAGGTTTAGGTAACATTGTACTATGGCATTTTTATAGTCTTTCTAGATTTGCACTGTATTCCTGACAGATTTAGGATCAGCAGCTGCATTGTGGTACAGATCTTTCTGGTTTTTTCTCATTATTTTGTGATATGCAGAGGTAGGTGACACAAGTCCTCAGGTCAGGTCACTTACCAAAGAACTTGGTGATATTTCTTTTATATACATTTATATATACGGAAAAGCGGGTATGTATTGCAAAAAATTAGATGGAAAAACACCCTAAAACTATATTGTTTTAATAAACCATTTTTCTTGATGATTCTATTAATCATAATGTAGAAAGTAATTGATACTAGGAGAACTCTTCCAAGTTCCAACTGCCAATCAAAGGTCAACAATCTGAACAGACACAAACCCAATGATAATCCAAAAAAATAGTTAATTTTCCTATATTACTGAGCAATCATCTTTCTCAATATATAATTTTGTTCCTCCATGAGTACCCATAACTGCTATACAAGAAGATGCAAGACCTTCTTCTATCAAGACAAAAATCCAACTTCCACACCCACACCAGAGAAACAATCACTATTAACTGTATGTATTACCATTTCATTGTGAAAGAAAGTTTCAGTTAACCAACTCACAGCAACTGATGCTTTCCAAAATATCAAAACCACAGTACGTTAGTCCCTGTTGGCAAGATTGTAGACGGATTTTTTTTTCTCAAGGTTTATCTACCCACCCAACAATCATAAACAATCAAATTTTGTACGGCGAACCAAAAGAAGACTAGCTGCATTAAATGTATTAATCCCACTTTTATTCCTTTTGAAATTTAGGAATATCAATAATTAGGTTAAAAAACCTAATCACATGCATCACCCAACTAATCTTCACTTAGGAAGCATAACTTCCAATAAGCAATCAGCTCCATCAATTACAAAGCAAAGGAAGATATAGTATCACAAATGTGGGAATACGTGGCTGCTCTCACTGAGAGAAGATAATGATCAAGAGATCGCATAGACAACAGTAACAAAACACTAAAACGCTAAACAACTAAAACCAAACCACTACACACAATCAGCAAGCTAAGCAGAATGTCAAGCTCAAAGAGCAAAATTTGACAGCATTAAAGCCAAATGATGACAGTTCTTCCTGAACCAAACAATTCCGATCTGGAGAGAACCAGGAAAAAGAAAGAAAAAGAGAAACTTACAACTGATTCGAGAGAAAATGCGTGGAGAAAGTGAGAAAATTAGGCGAGAATTCAAATATCAATCCATTTTCTTTGGCTAGGGTTTGGTGGATTGGAGTAGGTGCGTGCGACTGCTGCTCAACAATCCGTGGAGATAGAGAAGAAGAGGAAAGGGAAAGTTGAGGGCAGCGAAAGCGAATCTTTTCCCAGCTCAGTCTCTGTCATTCTGTCTTTACTTTCGTGGGTCAGTCCCGTTTTCCTTCGCTATTTCCCAATCCTCGGTTGGAGGTGTGCCCAAGTTTTACCACAACGGGCTCAAAGCCTCAAACTCAAACGTCAAACATCAAACAATGATATTGTGACTGGATTGGGCTCTATATACCGAAATCACCTGGGTTATTCCAGTATCTTATCCGTTCAAGCATTCCATACCAATGCCTGTGTTTTCGGCCCAAAGAGTATTCAACGATAGAATTTATTTATTTATTATTATTATTATATAGTAAAGATTTATTTATATATAAATTTTATACATTATATTTATTTAAAATTTTAATTATTTATTTTTTATTTTTAATAGTTAAAATTTATTTCTTTTAAAGATAATTATATTTTTTATCTAAAAAGATAGGATAAATCTTAATATTGAAAATTAAAAAATAAATTATTAAAATTTTGTATAAGTATAACATATAAAACTTATATATAAGTAGATGGTTGTTTATATATATTTTTTTAATCACTTTAGCCAAGAATGCGCAAAATTATAACTTAAACCCAAACTTCCACCTAAATAAATTTTAGGCCCCTTTATTTTTTAGTAAAAAAGATAATTTGAGACTATTAAAGGTAGTCTCATTGAGAGATTGCAAATATATAGTGCTTCTGTTTTTTTTTTTTTCATAAAATTTATTTAAAAAAGGATAAGGGATACTCTAATCCTTAAAATTACATAAAATGTTTGTTAGTTTTTAACCATGTATAGGAGAGATGCATTGATAACTAAAATAGAAGTCCTCATTTTTCGATGTTTCCTTTATCTAGCAAAAGGATTTTACCTAGACCAATTCAAAAATCTTGCATCTCGATTGAATTAAAGTTAAAATTCCAAATTCCAAGCTAAACTAATTATATTGATTTTAAAATTTTATAATACAAACTAACTTAAATTAATATGAGTTTAGATTAAATCTTAATTGAATAGACTCAGTTTCCATAAAATTAAATAGTTTTAACTGGATGTGAACAACTTTAATAGACCGAGTGCTTTAATTATTATTTTTTTTTTAAAGGGGTGGGGGAGGAGAGGGAGGTGGGGTGGCCAATAGGTGAGGCGTTCGTGCGTTTATGGACTGGTATACCTAAACAAAGCTGTGGCTCCAGAATTTCTGGAAGGAAAGGGGAAATGGAAAAGTAGTTTATAGATGTCGCGCCTGTTACCCTCATCTACAAGGTAGAAAAAGGATCCTCCTTGCCCATCAAATTAACCCCAAAGATTCTCAATTTCATTGTCCCATTTCCAGAAGCTACCTGAATGGATTTGAATTCCTCGTCTCCTCAAACCATCCCTGTCGTTTCCACATTTTCTTCTCCCTTTGACCAATCTCCGCCGGTCAAGGACCCCAATTCAGCTTCCACCCGGAAGCCAATAAGTCTGTGGCCCGGAATGTACCATTCTCCGGTGACCACTGCTCTCTGGGAAGCAAGGTCCAAGATCTTTGAGGGACTCCTCGATCCACCAAAGGATGCACCTCCACAAAGCGAGTTGCTCACTAAAACTCCCTCTCAGAGCAGAACCACAATTCTTTATAACTTCTCATCCGATTATATCTTGAGAGAGCAGTATAGGGATCCTTGGAACGAGGTTAGGATTGGGAAGTTGCTTGAGGATCTTGATGCTTTAGCCGGGACTATCTCGGTAAAGGTACTGCAGGGTTTAATTTGAGGCTTCTGTCTCAATTTGAAGGTGTTTCCTATAAATTGCTATATGTGAAATTTGGCTGTTGCTTAAAATTTTTTGTTCTTAAATTGGGTTGTGATTGGTTGTAACCATAGTAGAGGTTTCTTGTAATTACTCTTTGCTGCTGATATTGATTTTGGATTTCAATGTAGTGTGCTGATGGAGAGTTATACACTTATTCTGTTATAGATATATTTCCTATGTTGCCTTTCTCTTTAATCTATACTTCAATTTAATGGGACAGTTAGTGTGTCTTGTAGATCTTTTACTGTCTCTAATAAGAGAATCAGAACTAATGGTTGGTGGGGTTAGTTCTATTTTTCCTTCTAAGAAATTTTTATCTGAATTCTTGAAATAGCTTCAATAGAATGCTCTATCAAGGATGCTGAAATTTGGGAAAGGAAAATGGACCTGATGATTAATTTGTGTGGTTGAGAGGCTGAGGTTCATGTGACTTAGACCGGGAAGCTTAAAACTCTGATTTTAAGTATTCCTCAAGAAGCTAAGGACCCTTTATTTATATGGTTGTTGAATGTCAATTTGATTAGTTATGTTTCCCAATCGCATTAACTTTTTTAACCTTTGAAGTACTTTCAATCCTGTTTCAGTTTAATCTCAGAAGTCAGAAGTCTTATTGTAGCAGTAAGTGTAAAGAATTTCCACTTGTGGTTTTTCTACAATAACTGGAGGATCATGATGTGAATTGTTGTCTCATACAATCGAATGGAAGTTTCTCCAAAATGTACATGCTTTTATTATTTTGATGGTTCCTTTTTTTTTTTTTTTTTTTTTTTTTTT